GAGCGAGGCCGCGGGCGCTGCGCCGGGGGGACGCCGCTGGCTGGAACATCTGGCTCAACTTATCTCTCATTAAACTCGATGTTCACCTCAAAGAAGTGCTGAGAGTCTGCACTGAGCACCTGTGACCGGTCAAGCATTACTGAAACGCGGGTCTGTACGAGGCAGAACGTGTGCGGCTTGTGTGTAATGACTGTTCTTGCGGATGCCCTAGGGTAGGTCGCTGCTGTATGTTATTCCGGGCGAAACTGGCGCTTTCGTGACAAGATGCCGCATTTAACGCACCAGCTGGAGCTATTTCCGGACCGTAGCGTGACTCTCCTCCTGTTTAATCATGTGAAAAATGCTGCGGCTCTCAGAAAAAAAGCGATGGAAGGCTGTATTGATGGAGCATTAATAAATCCCGCCATGGTAAGCAAATGTCCTTATTGTCCTGTTCATTCTGCATTATGGTTTTGAAGGCTGCATGGAGTTCTGTCTGCCTAAAAGCTGTAGGAAAATGAGCTGTGTTTGTAGCCTCTATCATGTAAGCTGCTGTGTATACTTAGCTTTCACTGTGTAAATGCAACTCCTTTGATTTGATTATGACACTACAGAAGTATATGTGTCCCTCTATGTAGAAGGTAGAGCCTAGTCTTTTTTGGCAAAAATGGCCAAAAAATAATTCATCTCCTCCTTGATTCCCTTAACGTTCCTACTGCGTGGAGCTATTTAAATCTACTTCCATCTGTAAAATGTATTAATAATCATTTAGTGCTCTATTAAAAACCGCTAATGTTAGGAGCCTTTGTTCTCATCTAAACCCATAACTAGTTTCTGGTTTTTTGTCTTGAATTAAAGCAGTTGTTGGTTAGGGAAGAAAAAAAATCTAATCTGGCAATTAACTGAGAGAAGATTTATTAATGTGATACTTCTTTCAAAAGATTCCAGTAACCTAATTGTGAGTGTAATCTTTATTTTTATGTCAAGCATTGTCTCACTCAGTAAATGATCCCATTGACTTTGGAAGAGCAAGATTTACTGAAATGAATTGCTGGATAGTGCATTGCAGACGGTAATGATGGCAGACTGTCAGAGTCCAGTGCTCTCTGACCAGGTTCTTTTAGATATTCCATGTATACAGAGAGTGCAATGTTTCCTATAAAAGTTTATTTTTGAGGGAGTTTGATGTTACATGGGATTTTGATTTAGCAGAGTGATTCAGTAATATACTGAAATCACAATTCAAGTGTATACACTTAAAAAAATATAGCTGAACAGTTCAGTAACAATACCAATGTGTGGTTGCCATTACTGGTCTCAAATATGCTCGCCGACACGAGTGTCCCCAGTTGCTGGGAAGGACTGTGTGGGTTGATATCAGCTCAAGCCCGTTCCTTTCTTTGAAATTTCTTCGTTAGTCGTTGAGGTTTTATACTCTCTATTGGGCTGAGCCGCATATACACTTCCATCATGCTGGTCTGGCTAATCTCAGGCAGACATTCGCATCCTTTTGATCAGCTCAGGAAAAAAACTACTTCCACCAGGTCCAGGTAACAGATATGGCTGCTTATCTAAGATGAAGGCCACCCCTGAGTCCCCTTTGTCTTGCGATAACATCAGTTCTCTGTGCAACAGCTGTGGTTAGCGAGCTGCCTCCTACACTGTCCTTGACGTTTATGGGGCAGCTTGCCCTCTGAGCCTTCTCCCATTGTACGGGTTGTTGATCCGTCACACAGACTTAGCCTAACAAAGTTGAGCGCCACGGTTTTTTTTCCGGTGTTCAAAATATTGCCTAAAATTTCTATTTGTCTATTGTATTTTACAGATTGTAGACCCTTTTCAAATTCTTGTGGCAGCCAACAAGGCAGTTCATCTACACAAGATTGGTAAAATGAAGACCAGAACTCTCTATACAGAAATCATTTTCAACCTTTCGCCAAACAACAATGTAAGATATACAGAACAGTTAGTGTTTTTTCCAGAGAGGCTTGCTAAGTTCCATGCAGTCAAAACTAAATATAAGCATTCACTGAACAGTTTACCTGGCCTTACAACATCATACTCTGATGTACCAGAACCTTCTCTGAAGTAACCAGAATAGTCATATTTCCGTAGTCCTACTGTTGTGCAGACAGAACTCACATGCAGCGATTCTCTCCTTCGTTCTCATCCTTGACAATTTCAGAGTAATCACAGAATGGTTGAGGTTAGAAGGGACCTCTGGAGATCATCTAGGCCAACCCTCCTGCTCAAGAAGGTCCTCTAGAGCATGTTGCCCTAAAATGTGTCCAGACGGGTTTTGAATATCTCCAGGGAAGGAGACTCCACAACCTTTCTGGGCAACTTATTACAGTGCTGTGTCACCCTCACAGGAGAGAAGTTTTTCCTTACATTCAGACAGAAACTTCCTGTGTTTCAGTTTGTGCCTGTTGCCTCTCGTCCTATCACTGGGCACCACTGAGAAGAGTCTGGCCCCATCCTCTTGACAGAGACTTATTACACGGTGATAAGATTCCCCCCTCGGTGCTCTGTTCTCCAGGCTGAACAGGCCCAGCTCTCTCAGCCTTTCCTCATAGGAGAGATGCTCCAGTCCCTTAATCATCTTAGTAGCCCTCTGCTGGGCTTGCTCCAGTAGTTCCATGTCTCTCTTGTATTGGGAATTCTCCTCTATGTTGTTTGGTTTTAGGGTTTTTTTTTTAATGTAAAAGTCTGTAATATTTTTCTTTAAAAAGGTAAAAATGTTAGGATACCTCCAAATCCTCTCACAACTTGTATAACGGAAAAAAACCCTACTGATTTGACAACACGTTGCCATGAACGTTAGTCACTGTGTGAAATTATAGTCTTAGCAGTCATAGTGAATAACAATACTCTCATTCTGATGTTAAGTGTAATGTATTAAATTAGTGTATATATATTATATTGTATTATAATGTATTAAATGATTTAATTAATACTTCAGAAATTACCCATAATACTCATGCAAATTACTATCAACATTTGACAATAATACAAAAGATGGAAAATAAGACTTTTACTCTTTCTCCTTTAATGTACAGTTCTAGAGCACTACAGAAAGCACCTAGTAAATGATTTCAGAAATAAAATTGTAGAATGCCGATGAAAAATTAATCTATATAGGCTGTATGGAAATCACTTTCACACAGTTCTGTTCTCATTTTTGCCAGTAATTGAGCAAATGTGCCAACTTCTTTGGAAAAAAAAAATTGACACCATAACTAATATTAATTAGGGGTCAGTGAATCCTGAAAGAGTTAGAAGACAATGGAGATTCAAGAATAACTCTCTCCAGGGACGCATAGCTTAAAATAATGTGGCAGATGTTTAGCTGTCTAGAATGTACTGTGCGTAAATGATGATAAATGATTGATTTTCTTTGCTGCTATCCCTCTCTTCCAAATAGTCCGTTTGCACTGCGCTGTTAAAAATAGGAGAGCATAATGGTGAGCCATAGCTTATTTTTTAACCTATGGACCATTTTGTATAAGGAACCTGGCTTACATTTGTTGTGGTAGCACGTGGTTGTGTCATGTTCAAGCTTAATTAGAATTTTAACACTTACTCAGACTCCTATTTGTCTGACATTTCCAAAATACCTAGGAAGTCAGATAAGTAATAGGTTTGTGAGACTCAAGGGAACTGCAGAGTTTCAGCTTCTTAAGTCATTCCTCAAGCCAAACCCTGTAATAGGTAATGTAAATTCATGACCTGAATGCGTTGATAACAAGGCTTTCATAAAATGTAATTTTAGCTTACAGAGGTTTATTTCCATATGTTCCGTGTAAAATCAGTGGTCACAGATATGCTCCTACAAAGGGCAGTTCAGAGCACTTAATGCTAAGATTTTGCTCTCTTTCATTATGTGAAGAAGTCTCTTTCATTATGTGAAGAAGGGTATGGAAGAAAGCTAGCCTCCTTAGCTAAAGTTAGTATTTGGGAATATCTCTGTGAGACTTTTGCTTTGAAGATGATCATTTACTGCCCCTAGATTTATGAAGAGGAACAGAAATGTAATTAGAGAGACAGAGACGTTTTTTCAGATATTCTTCCCTAAATATTTTTAGCCTTTATTCTTCCACAGTCGTTTTATCCTCAAATTTCTGTATCAATGGATCTGTTTGATTGTAAACTTCAGCTGTAGACACACTCAGCAGCAGATACACTAGCAAAATTAAGAACTGTCTGGTAGGTGTTAGGCTGTACCATTTCTGTATATAGATTTTGTTTTGTTTTTTTTTACCGTTATATATATATTTTTAAAAACAAAAACAGTAACCAAAAAAAAAGCCTCAAATGTGGAAAGAGACTTGACCTAACCGATGTAGCAGTTGTGGTCACACAGTAACTATTATTCTAGTTTTCTGATGATTTAAGATCATGCAGTCTTGCCAAGGGGGGAAAAAAAACCCTAAAACTTCTTAACAACTGTTTTGATCCAGGTGGAATAAAACCCCCAGACTACTAATAGAAGTTAGTGTAAGAAGTAATTTCTCTCTTATAGTTGATTAACATTTTATTAATATAGATTTTGTCAGTTTATACTTCAGGTTTATTTGACCCACTAACTGAAAATGTTGCTTAAATGTAGTAAAAAAATGACTAGTTAAATTTTGGGTTTTTTTCATCTTTCCTTAGATTTCAGATGCATTGAAAAAATTTGGTATTTCAGACAGTGACACAGCGGTACTCATTGTTCTGGTTGAAGACAGAGAAAAAACTGTAAATCTGGAAGATGTAGCATCTCAAGTAGAAGGCCAGCAGGTTTCTCTAGATGAACTCCCCCAACTAACAGACATTGCAAAAATTAAAAAGGTATGTAGCCAAAAGAGAGAATTGTGGTTGAGGAAAGGGGTATTTTATTTGATTGTCTGATTAAATCTCAACTGACATAACTCATTTAGAGTTTATATTTCTTTAATATGACTGGAAGCTTGCTATAAGTAAAACTTGATTATTTGTTTCTTTTACTAGTTTTACTCTGGGGGAAAAGGTTTCTAGTGGTCGTCCTCTAATGTACCAAATTTTGAGTCATCAAATTCTTAGTATCCTCAGAAATTTAGAACACAGAAATGAAATCTAGATTGCTCCCCACTGTTCTGTCGCTTCCTTTTCTTGTTTTCCCAAGTAAATATACATTTAATTAAAAATAAACGTTCAGTTCTGCGTAGTTTCATAATCTTAAATACATAAATAGTCCCAGCACGGGCAACTAAAATAAGAATGATTTGTTGGTTACCTGCTAGGAACCGTGTTAGGGCATTTGCACTTTAGCAGATTACCGTAAGCTAGGAAGGTATCTTGAAGTATGTGTGTTCCATGTGATGAAATTGAAGCAGCTTAAACCGTCTTGCTTATGTCAGTCAAAGTAATGGTGGGAGAGAGATGAGCAAAACTGGACGTATCATAGCATATAACATGTAGAGCTGAAAGTACTGTTATCTATCAGTTTCTTAGCTTTCCCTTGGCTCTGCAGTTTAAGAATTTGCCTGGTTCCTACTCCTTCATCTAGCCTGCAAGACAAGACATACATTTCTACTGTAAAAAATTGGAGGGGGTTAATGTATATATTTTTAAATATATTTTTAATATTTTTTTTAAAGTTAAGTATGATAACTTTTTTCTGCCTTATACAGCCTTTATGTTTTTCTGGGTTTTTTTCTGCAGATGTACAAACTTACTCCACAGGAAGAAAAAATCGGCACCTTATTGGATGGCATTATTTGCAGAATGTCGACAAAAGATGTTTTATGAAAACGTGCAAATAAATTTTTTTTAAAAAGAAAAACAGATCTTTTAAGCTTCAAAAATACTTTGTGGTAATTCAGCCTGTATTTCAGAGAAATCGGTGTAATACCGAGTAGTGTGGTGGTATCTGAGCTTTAACTATAAATACTAGCTTGGATGTGGGAGTAATCTAAGCTATATTCTAAGCACAAGCAATTCTGCTGTACTAAGCAAAATTTGCTATTACCCTTTCTGTCTATGTTCTTATTTAACAAGAGAAAAGATCACTTTTCCCGATACCTTGAGCTGATCATAAAAAGAAGGCTTGAAAATCTGTACTGACTTTTCTCTTTCATTGAGCATTTTATCATCCACAAATAGGATTCAAACACTGTAAATTATTTTTATTAATCCTACTGTGACTTGTTTTATTTTGGCACCCCTGAGGGGTGATATCATTTTGATGTTTAACAACAGTATTGACAGGAAAATTGTCTCAGTAGTGCCAAGTATTGCTCTTGGACTAGAAAAAGGGAAGTTTTTCACACCGTATCTGCAGTATCTCCCTCTTCCTGCTAATGGAGTAGAAACGCTGCCCAGCCTTCAGGAGAAGGAAGGCGCGAGGCATGATGGGACCCGGTGGTGCAGCATGGAGCTGGGCCAGGCCATGGAGAGGAGTGCGGTATGACGAATAAGGTCAGTATGGATGATACTATGGTGGTATTAGCACCTAACAATTTGGCATCTCATACAGTGTACAGTGCTGAGCTACTGGTGTATTGCTCCGTGTTACGTAGTGTTGGGAGTTAAAGAATAATGAGAGACATTTTTAATTTGTGACGCTGGGAATTAAGCCTAGTGATGCTGACTTGCTAGGGCTCTGTTCCAAGTGTGGAATTCACAGAAAAATCTGCATCGTGGATTTGCTCAGTTTAAATTTTGGATAAAGCCTAAATAACGTGCTGACAGGATCGTTGAACTAATTTTGTTTTGCTGATTCAGTGTTAAGAAAGAACATTAAAGAGAAGGAAAAAATAATTTTGATTTCCAATAGTTGTCAGGTCCAAAAGTCCTGTGTCAGTGTCATTTAATCACATATAGGCATCCTGTTTCATTAAAATGAAAATTAGTGTCCCAATTGGGCAGAAATCCATACTGCTTGTTATCATTATGCTATCTTGTTTTTCTGGGAAATGCCCTGTGTAAAACTACAGTTTTCTGCGTTTTTTTTTCTTGCCATTCTCTGAAGCTTAGGACTTGCATGTTTACAAGATAGCCGGAAGAGTGTCCTAGACTGTTGTCTTGTCCCTAATGTTTGGGAAAAGAAAGTATAGTTTGGGGGGGTAGAAAAGTCTGAGTTAGAGTTGAAATGTTAGCTGCTACAGTAAACTGACCAGCAAACTGACATACACACCCGATACTGTCTGTGTTTCTGAATTTAATATGGAAAACCCTAGCTCCTGTTTTGTATTGTGATGGCGGTTAGTTTTTCTTCCCTCAGTAGTACAGATGGTACTACTGTACCATCCTTTTCTTACCAACTGAATCAATGGCGAAATATGCTGAAGACATGTTAAAGACAGGCTGTTTGCTAATCTCCGCTGGTTCAGATTACATGATAGAGGAAAAACAAGTAAGTATTGTAGTAAATCATTTCTTAAATTAAAGCCAGGGTTTTAAAAAATAAAGTCATAGTACTGAACTCTCCAATCCATATCTAAACAAGAAGTTTTTCAAAAGTTGAAATGCTACCTTGAAATAATTAGGCTTATTTCTTGCAGATCATGGCCTTAATGCAGAACTACTAGTATACAGTGACTTGAGAAATGGTTTGTAACTATGAAAGGATTTGGGTTTCGAAGTCAAACATTTGTATCCCTTAAATCCATCCTTGAAACATTTTAATTCTGAAGGCATCTGAGTTTATGTCACTAAAATCCCTAGATACAGAAGTTCTTGTGACTGACTGGACTTGTTTTTCTTACACCTCTGAATTGCTGGGATTTCCCACCCCCCTGTAATATTCACAAACTTGGCTATCCTGCATCTTTCGTGCTGGATCAGTTCTGCTTTGCATAGCTAAATAAATATTTGTTGATGTCTAGCAATTCAAATTGTCTAACCGAGGAGTTGCATTAGGCAGAGAGATTCATGTTCAGATCAGAAGTTTTTTTACTGGTTAATGTATAATGGGACAGTCATCTTCTCATATGAACTTCCTTATAGCCTTGTGGTGGAAGCATTATTGTGAGATCTGAGTTCAAATCCTTCTGAATTTCTGTAGCTGAAGATCTTTAAGGACTGGTTAGACGAGTGAGACTAGTGAGAAATAGTTGGGATGTGGTTGATACTTCCTGAATCTAGGGCATTCCTTGAGGTCCCTTGTAGCCCTTTTCTTCCAGGACCTAGTCATTACTTTACATTAAGACCTACGTACCAAGGGAAAGACAAAAGTCTATCAAAAGAAAAGATTTGAGAGAAGCGGCTGTGCCGATTTCTTGACTTAAAAGATGGTTGTACAGAGTGTATTATCCTTCCTAAAAAGGGAAATGTGAGGCAGTAGTAAAAGACGGCGTTTGGAAGGGCTTAAGTCTTTTGAAATAAAAGGTTCATAATGTCAGCATGGGAGAATTATTGTGGAAAATTAAAGACTTATTTTTATTCTGACAGTCCAATTGGTACATGGAGTGTATCTTCAGATTTGCTGGCTGAGCTGCTGACATTGTTTTTGATAGTTTAAAATAACAGCACACAGGTATGTTTAAACCACAGCCTTTTCTGAACATGTGCAAAATATCAGTCTGGTCTGGTTAGTATACAAGAAATATTAATAAAAAGATTGCTGCATAACAACTGGTAAATACTTTCCAAACTTTGGTTCTCAGTTTCTAGTTGTTGTCAGTCAATTTCACGAGTGTAAAAACAGTAAATAATTTATTACGGCTGTCATGCGTTCTGAGCTAAATCATGAAACTGTGATTTACTGTGAGATCTGAATGAGATGTTTTCGTGGCTGGATTTACTGGAAGCGATTTTGAGAGCTGTAGCCTCCATGATATTATTCAGTCAGGCACACCGTTTGGGTCTGTTGGCAGTGAGAGACTATGCCATTGTCCTGCAAGACCACCGTTTTTCCCTTAGTCCTAATTGGGTTCTCTAACTAAATTAAGCCAATTATTTACAAAAACTGATAATAAATATTGACTGTGTTTTTCACAATCTGTAACGGTTGTGCAGTTACATTTGGCTGTACAACTGCCCTGTACAGTTATGCTTGGCTTTCTGAATACGTTAGGAATTAGTAAGTTTGCGCCTAGAATTTAACTGCTACATTTAGTCATCCAACCCTGCTTTCTACCAAGGCAAAAGTTTAAGGAAGAAAAGATGTTTTATGCTGCATAGCTTAAGATACTATTTGAAGATGCATCTAAACCAGTCTAAGAGACTCCACCTCTTCACTGAAAACCATGACTAGTCAATGGGGGAAAAAGTGAGCAACGAGATAGCACATTCTCTTTGAGGATAGTGTCGTTATTAATAAGATGGGTTTGTAGCTCGCTATCAGCCTGTAGTTCGTAAAAGCTGCGTGTTATAATTGCAGCTGAAGACTGTAAAAGGCTTCTTGCAGAAACCTTTGGATAGCAAAGTTTATTAACGGTCAGATATCCTTTACTGTTGGGAAATTGCATTTTCAGAATGTCATGTTGCTACAAGTGGTTTCCTTTGCTTGTGTCTACTGCCCTGTTAGAAAAAGAAAATCCTCAGTAAAAGTAATTTGTATCTTTTTATTTTTTTTTCCAATTAAAATCAATACAGCGGCAGCAAAAATACTAAATCTTTATATGGGGCATTGGCCTTTTACAGTATGAACAAGATAGTCTCCTCTTACAGGTGGTTTTTTGCCAGTAGAAATGCCCAGTAATTGGGATAAACTGCCAAGTAAAAGGATAGATTCTCCATCCTTCGATGATTTTGTAGAATGAGGTATTGAGTCGTCTGAGGAAACTTTGTCATTCCCATCTCTGAAGTACTGCTGCAGCTTTTCCAGGCCCTCCAAGGTACGTCTCTTGTGATTCTGGGCAAGTTAAAGATTTTTTCAATGCAGCTTCATGATGGTTGCTGCCATTGTTCTAACAAAGTTCCTGTTGATTTTAGCCAAGTTTTGCCCAAAATAATTAGGTTTGATAGAGATGTGCATGAGCAGCCTACAGCCCGGAAAATTATTATTATTTAACAGAATGTTTTTAGTTTTTTTTTTTTTAAACTATACAGAGATATCCAGCATTTGGACTAAATGATACCAATATGTTTTTGTGTGCCCTGTGCTTAATGTGGCTTCTCATGAAAACAAAAGCTAGGCAATCTGTCTGCATGTGAAAGTGTTTCATTGTTTTGATCACGTTGGCTAGTTTTAGCTACATTTGACAGTAGACGAAAGGTCTTGAAAATAAGTTGGCTTCTCCGACTTCTGTAGGTAAGCAGTTGAGTAGAGAAGATAGATTCTATATATAAACTAACTGAGGAGAAGTAGCATGAGACAATGTTTTAATAAAGAAAATCCAAAAGAACATTCTGCTAAATGTGCAAAGCATGGAAAAGGATTTGCTTGGAATTTCCACCATTTTTGATACATGAAATCAGTTTGCATGAGAGAAATCTGTAGCATGTCAGCATCATAAGCTCAGGAACTCACGTAGGTACTTGTTTTTTATTGCTAAATATGGTCTCTCTGTTAGCAGAAGATAGCTCTTAACATTAGTATGGTATTTGTAAGTTCTAAAAGTACCTGACAGAGCATTTCTGGATCCTCAGGAAATCAGAAGGTTACGCAGCAAATGAAGGGCTTATATTGTAAGAGTAAAGGGTAATATGAAATAGTTGAACAGAAATCTTCACAGCTATACAGATTTTTTTTTGCCCAAATACCATTCTATGCTTGGTTTAACCAAAGCAGATTTGTGATGGCTTCTCAAGTTATTGACAGAGCTAGCATTAAAAATTTGAAATCTCTGAAAGGGTCCACAAGTCCAGAGATGGTGTTCTTGTAGCCTACTTTTCCCACAGTCTTCGGGGCTGTGAAGGGTTCCTGCTGTGAACAGCAGTGTGTATAGAGATCACGGGAGGTGCCTTACAGATAAGGTGAAGAACTGCCTGTGTATCTTCAGAAGGCTGTAAAAGGGAGAGCAGCCCGAAGCCAGAAATAATGCTAACTTTTTAAAATTCCTATTATGTATTAGGAGGAAAGTTCTTATCTTAATCTTCCACGTCACCATGCAATATCCCAATGCTCAGACACAGGAAAGGAGGGGGAAGTAAATGAGAGAAAAGAGCGAAGA